TAATAGGAAGATGTAAACAATAGACAAAGGCGAAGAAGTAAAATTAAAAATATGATAAAACAGTAAGACATTGCTGCGACGATTCCTAAAAATAAAAAATTGTTTTATCGAGTAGATAACTGATATAACATTGTTTGTGAAGTCAACGACTTCCCTCGTATTAATGATAATTTTTTTATGAGGCATGACCACCAACGTTGAGCGGAGTTGCTTAGTAATTAAATAAACAATTACAGAGTTTAGAATGAGCGGGAGGTCAGAGGACGGAGATATAATAGAATAACAATGAATGCATTGACGGTTCAGCTCGCATCGGCACGTACTGCGAGGAGTTGGATATTGCAATGGTTGCGTCTTCCAGGCCGGATGTCTGCGTGATAATGAATAAATAACGCCTCAGCGTCCTGTTTGCAATCTCTATTGCCAGTTATACCGTACGCCTTTACAAACACTCAATGAGGGTCCATTGTCGCTTTTTTATTAACTTTGTGCTAATGACAGCTGCTCCTCTATCATGTGATCGATTTGGAATTTTACAGGAAAGGTGGGATTATAGGGGTGATTGTCATCGGTATTGGTTAAGTCTTCTTTATTTGTTGACTAATAAATATTTGCTACTTCTATTGATAACATTAAATTTCTGAAAAAGATTGATGTTAAAAATTTAGTGAAAAAGGCCACCTATAAAATTGTTACTTCTTACTAATATTATAACTCCGAAAATTTGGATTGGTGGATGTTTGTTAGAGTTGTATCCTAAACGTCTGAACAGATCTCGATGAAATTTGGCATAGACGTAGAGTATAGTCTGGAAAAACATATAGGACACTCATTTTTTTTAAATTGCACGCTTACGGAGTCGAGTTAATATATAAATTAATTCAAGTCTCAAATTGATGTAAGCGGAACAGATAGGCATGCTTAATGCCTTCATCAATCAATACGTACGTCGTACTAATCGAAGTGGGTCTTATCTAAGTTTAAGGAATATCCCTTAATCCCCGACGCTTAGCGGACGGATCAGCTGTTGAAGTGGCAGCCACTGATCTCTGATACGGCTGGCTATAGGTACTGGCTGTAATAAATTCGGAAACGTCTTCATTTACGTTATACTATCTTAACATTTAGAATATCATATAACTTAAAATTTATTCTGAAACAATTTTCATGACATTAACATAAGAAAAGTTTATAATAAGTAGGTACTTTGCGGTGAAAAATAAATACAAACGAACGCAGATTTTTTTGATCTCAATTGATTGAATGCAATCAGGTTAACAATCAAACAAATGTAGCTTGCATTAAATATTTGTTCCATAATTTAAAAATTAAAATTATCAAACGAGCGATATATCAGATTTTCTTAGAACTTCTAAAACTTGAATCCAAATATAAAGGCATAAAGTGAAATTTAACATAGTCATCGCCGCACCGGAAAGTTCATTTCTTTGAAATGATGATCAAACGGTCGAATGGAAGAAGAACGCACGTGAAGTCATAGAAATGTATCAGGAATTCTTTTTTTAAACTATCAATGCATTTGAATTATATACGTTATTCCCCTTCAATAATATACACGTTTATTATCACAGTTTAAACTACTTTTGTACTTGTTTCTAATCATAATACGTATCTCATGTTTTTCAAAGAGAACGAGAGGGACAGTAACATAAAATGTTAGTTTTTTTTTGGAATCTAGCGTCCTTAATTTTGTAAGACTGCAATATTCTAGCCATTGCTTTTTGTTACCTTAGTTTTTGCGTACTTCCTTATCAAATTTCTGTTTGTCCCTTCCCATAACTTAAGTTTGTTTTTCTTTGTGTCTTATCTCTTTCGACCTACCCAGTTTGGGACGGAAAAAGACAGTGTTTGCATTTTTAGCACAATAGAATTTAGTTTCGGATTAAAAGTGGCGTTTCTTTTGCTTGCATCACAGATATAGCGTTGCAAAGTTTTATTTGTAAAGATATGATTTGACTCTTCTACAGAAAAAGTAAATCTTATTTCGTATTGAAGTAGGTAAACTAATTATCGATTAACATATTCTGTGCTCATTGTTTTTAAACTTCCATCACCTGTGGAATATTTGAATATTCCAATTGCCGAAAATTAATCACATCACGTATCATGTAGCTAAAGATGTATCGTCGTGTCGAAGCTTCCTTTGTTTTCTTACAATATTGGGATGTCGTCGAGACTTGGAAATGCGAATCCCGTACGTGGGACACGCGCAGACATTTTAATGTGTTTACTTCCTGGAGTTCGAGTATTAGTATGCTAATACGATTTGTCGGGGATCTAAACACGTAAATGCTGTCAAAATAACAAAAGGCCCAAAAAACAATGGGCGTTAAGCTGTGAGTTAGGACATGTTTATACAAGGGATATTTAAATTAGTACTTTATTAAAGATCAAAGATTTTCTTGGTAAACAAATTAGTGAAATAATTTCAGATTTTGACAAAATCTTACTTCTTATCTTACTAATATTATAAATGCGAAAATTTAGATGGATGGATCGATGTTTGTTAGAGTTTGTACCCTAAACGGCTGAACGGATTTTGATGAAATTTGGCATAAATATACAGGATAGTCTGTAAGAAGACAGGCTACTCACTTTTGTTTTTTTTTAATTCCACGCGTACGGAGTCGCGGGTAAAAGCTAGTATCACAATAAACCTGTACCATAGATAATGTGATAATAAAAATTATTTTAGCAGAGCACTAGTGAATTAGAAAGTTTAATGAATACGAAAACATTCAACAAAGTTTATAGTATAATGTTTGTTGGGTAACGATTCTTTTATCGTATTTTAGCACTTAAGTAACTTTGTTCTAAAGTCAAACAACCCTAAATACATAACGTGGTATCGGGATGCAAAGGGCCGAGGTATCAGTTAAACAAATGTCTGCTTTGAGTTTATTGATTCTTTGAAAGTTTAATTCGATACTAAGATTATTTCATACACTTAAGCTGAAAAACAGCTTGCATTTCCTCTGCAAAGCACGTTCTATTTGACATTATACTTGGCAAGAAAACGTAAATAGTATGCGGGTTAATTTAAAAATCGATTTCAGTTGCTACGAAGAGACTATTGTTTATTATCAGATTGGGAACAATGACTCGTCGGTCTTTCCATGCCTTTCCTGTGCATATTACGACGTCGCAAATCGTCTTGTACGTTTGACGCGTGAATAAATGCAATTCGTCAAGGAATAAATATATTCATGGCTCGTTATTAAGTTCCAGTAAGGCGACAGTGTAGACGCCGCCTATGAATGTATTAGAGGCATACCATAGAGTTGTCAATGTCGACCGCCTACTGGACCTTTTTTGTAATGGTACAGCCACGTGGCGGTAAAAAACAAACTGTATTTTAAACAGGTCTGACTTAGACCTGGCAATGCTTTAATGCACAATGTATTGTGTTGATAGCAACGGTATCTGTACTAGTAAGGATATTTTCATATATTTCATAATATATGTTTCAATTTTGAAATTATATCGTACTAGCTTACGCCCGCGACTCCGTCCGCGTGGAAGTTAAAAAAACAAAAGTGAGTAACGTATGTGTCCTTCTAGACTATCCTCAAAGTCTATACCAAATTTCATCAAAATCCGTTCCGCCGTTTAGGCTACAAACTTTAAGAAACATCCATCCATCCATCCATCTCAACTTTCGCATTTATAATATTGGTAAGAGTAAGAAGTAAGATTAGTAAGATTACTGATTTGATTTTATTAAGTTTATCTTTAAACTTAAATTGACATCAAATTAGAAAATGCTGTTCTAGGAAATTTACTCCTATCAGAATAGTCATGTTTTCATTATAAAATATCTCGAGTTATCTCCAATAGCGAAACAAAGTCATTAATACCTTTACGTGTCGATCTTTCTAATTCCACATCGTTTCTTAGGAAAAGATAAACGTATTCCGGTTCGGGTTAACTTGCTCACGTATGTTTATTTACAGCATTTTAATCCGCTTCTCATGGCTCAGTTCCTCCGGAGCGTCCGGGGCACGTCGGCCATCTTCATTGTTACGACGCTTATCTTCTGAATTTTTATGGGACATTGCTTTTAAGCTATGAACTTTGTTTATGATTTGATTATCGCGCTACTGATTCCGTAAGATGGATGAAGATTGAACGGATATGTAAACTGAAAGTTTTATGTTGCATTGTTCATTTGTTTGCTTTTAAACAATTGAAAAGAATTCGGGAGTAGTAACGGGGTATTATCATGGGGAAATTAAAGATGATTTCTATACACAACTGTAGAAGTAGATGGCAATATCTTCAATGCATCTATTTTATTAAATGTGAGTTGTCAGAGACAATAACTTCAAGAACAAGACGTAGCTTCCATCATATATGAATGTTGCAAAGAATAAAGAAAATGTAATAATTGAATTGCGAATTATATTTAGATGTAGACTTTTATTCCGTTTGCTGAGTAAATAGCTTATGCAGTACTGTTTGCGTTTCACTTGGTATTTATTGCGTGCATAGTACATGCAAACAAAATGCACCGACTGATGCCCGTCGTATGAAAGAACTCTTGTTTAAATATGCAATTACGTTTTCATTGCTGTGCAGCTGCATTCGTTTTAGGCATACAGATTGAGTGTTAACGAGACTATGAGAAAAAGTCCTATAAATCTAGATTTAGATAGTTGTTCGTGACATTTTTTTAACACGGTTATTTTACAAATGCTTTAACAAATTATTCATAAAATAAAACTTTTATACTTCGTTCTTGCGTTTATGCTCTTTTATTCTTGTCTTTGTATTCTTAATAGCCTTACCTTTTAAAACTTCGCTTCTATTTGAAGCCTTAACTATATTTCGAGAATATTCAGCAAGCGAGGCAAAAGAAACGTGAAACAGCTCCAGTTTCGCCGGGTGACTGCGATAAAAACTTTTCTACCATAAATCTCGTTTCTTTTGTCCGTTATGCTTCAGGTGAATTTAAATTTTCATTGAATTTCCTTTTGCAGAGACCGTGCAACTGTCAGCGGGCGCGAAAGCGGTGCCATTGTTTTCGACCGCACAGCAACGAAATATGGCTGTTTTCGAGATACTCAACAGGCTGGAAGTGAGTACAACATTCGTTTACATTGTGCATTCAACTGTACCGATGTATCTATCGTTTTTCGGAACAAAAAGATGTAATTCTCACAGTTTGTCACCGGTACATGCGGTAGCGCTTATGGAGACGACCGTAACACGTGTTCCGTTACAGCCTCGCGCCACCCGAGGCGTCGGGAACTAGGCGGCCATATTGTTACACCAATAAATTCAAGTCGCGGCGTCAATTCGGAGCCTCGAAATTTGAATTTGAATGATTATTGTTTGCGACACTCCGCCGTGTGGGGACATTTGATTACATCGGGCCGGCGCCGCGTCTCGCCGCGTCCTGGTCACCGTCGTATGCCCGTTAGGGGCATGCAAATGTGCCGAATACACAGTGCTCGAGCTATGCAAATCACCTCTCCTGGCTATTGTTCACCGTCCTTGGGGATTTTACGACAGTTGCGTTACGCGTGGTGTGAATCCAAAAACGCTTTTCGATCGGCAAATTTTCTATTTGGTAGTCCATACATTAAGCCGACCTTCAGCCTACAAAACAATAGCCTATGAGCCATTAAAACTCATGATTGATCATTTTTCAAAATTTGAATTGAAACGTTATTTATACCAAGTATGGAAACGATGTTAAATTTTTTTTAAGTTAAATAAAGGATCTTAGTTCTGAGTTTATTAAATTTAGGTATATTATCGAATAGATAAATGATAGATAGATAATAGTATTTAGGTATATAGATGAAGCTCATTGTTATGCGAAATTGTCAGCCGTTTGCGGTAAATCGTTTGGTACAATACGCAATTTAAATCTAAATTCAGTTCAAATTTGTTCAGTTCAATATTGATTAATTATAATTATTATTTGCATTTGTTCAATATTGGAATACGAGATTATCTATTAGTTCTATATATAATTTATAGAAGATATTTCAATAAAATGTTAGCGGGGACATTTCTATTACCTGGCGGAAGCCGAGGAAATGTATGTTGATGTGGCGTTTGAATGGAAATGTACGTGGTAACTGGAAAACGACCGCTATGACTGGAATAAATTTAATGTTCAAAATACTATTCCCAAGATTTTAAGTTGTTACTCGGTGGGAATATCTCTAATGGAACAAAGTATACCATTTTAACTAATTTATTCTAACCTTTTTAACAGAAAAATATGAATTTAATAAAATACATTTTCGATGTTTACCTTATACATATGCAATCAAGTTCCTTACTGAAATGTACCATTATAATAATGCGACAGTATTGTAGATGGCACAAAGGGTGATCATTTGGAAGGTACCAGACGTACGGAATGAGGCCTTCGGGTACATAACGAGCTATTCAATACTCGACAATGTCCTATTTACACGACACGTCTTTGATAGCATTCGGTTATCAATGGAGGAAATGATGAGCATCCAGCGCTTCACTTCCGACGTTACTTGATGAAGGAACATTGATATTTTAATAAAAGGACTCAGGTTTATGACTAAGAATATAGACGGGAAGATGGATATCGATTTTCTATCCTATCCTTTCTAAAACTATTCATTAAGGGCCTGTCCCACCAAATTTTAAATTGTCCGATAACAATCCAATGTGCAAAATATGCGATGGAAATATTGCATTTTGTTACCTTATCTGACAGTGACGTCATTTTAAAGCTATCTAAGCCTCTGTCAGCCAGTGGTGGGACAGGCCCTTAATATTTTATTTTGTATAACATCAAAGCATTCTTCTACCGTTAAGTTTCCGTGTTATATTTAAAATATACGAACATTTTTCTATTCCCAATAGCATTTTCTTCCATAAATATATTAGATATACCAAGATAAATTCCAGCTATGTTGTTCCTTTCCGACGTTATGGCTGTTAACAAATTGGAAAGCTTACGAATGCTTACAATGCATCTTGTTAAGCTGACGGCGGCCGATTTAAATGCATCTTCAAATCATTAGCCGCATATTCCATCGCTGATTGAGGTGGCGCTGCTATCTTTGGAAGGCATTTGAGCTATTAATTTGGTCGCCTTACACCGCCGGACCCCCCAAGTCGAAACGTTCACAGGCCGATAGCAATACTCCCCGCATTATTTGTCAAACCGTTTCAACGGAGATTAGTCTCATTGTGCTACTGTCTACTAATACCCTACTTCGTTTTCGGTAAACAGTGACTAAATGTGTCCATATTTATCCGTTGAACAAGCCTTTATTGTTCCCACTCGACGGAGACGAGATTAAGATCTCGAATGTTTGAATACTGAAGCATTTTAGTAGCATTTTGTATGCTATCTTTGGTCTCTAGTGAGGCATTGTTTGCTTACCAGAGATAAAGGTTATTTTCATCGTCTATCCATGCATCAACGCGCTTAAACGAGGCTACAGTGACTATGTTTGATAATGTATCAACTCTTACGTTATTTTGAAAGAATTTTATGAATGTTAAATATAGTTTGGATTTCATAAAAACATTATTGTTTGTTTTGATACGTTGTATAACAAAGATTAGTCTTTTTTAGATGGTTAATTTAGATTTAACTACTGTATTTACATTTGTAAATTGGTAGTGTTTGCAAAATTAGGTACTAACATTGGTATAAGAGTGCTTATTGCGCAAGCATGCTCTAAATAGCTTCGTGTAAGTATTCGGTAGTCCCCGCCCGGTCGTGTCTCACCTGTTGAATATAAAGCACAGTCGTACTGAGCCTCTAAGCTTCTCTGCTTAGAAATTTATACGGGAAAACTGCGGTAGAAGTAATAGCTTGACAGTTGATTAATTCTTTTGAATGATGTTATAACCGCTGGGAAATAACATTAGCAATTAAAGAGTTCAAGTTCATGTATGTTTTTGTCCGAAGACTTGGGCTTTCCAAATAATTCAAACTAGCTGTTCCCGTGCGACTTCCGCATGAAATTATGAAAATTTTATTTTATTGTTTACATTTGTCAAATAATCAATAGCAAATGTCAAAATGACCACTGCAATCTTACTTTCTTGATGTTGGCAGCAACTTATGGTCTCTTTCCGACATTTGGGTTTTTATTCAAAATGTTTACCTCCTACGTTTAATGGCGTGAAAATATATAGCCTAAAGCGTGACGTAAGTGTAGTGCTTTTTATTAAAAAAAATTATTCATAAATATGCTGTAATCTCTGACATCTTAGTCAACAAAGAAGTGTGTATTTACGATTTATTATAATAGTATAGATTAACGTTTGATTTTGATTTAAGTCACCTGAAGATCGCAATTTCAGTCAGAAAACATATTTATTTTCTATTGACCTATTGAATAACATTTGTACTCGCTTTCATACATATAAAACAACTCTGTTATGAATCTTCATCGAATATTGATTTGAGCCGTTACTGTTAACGAGTTCCGTGGCTTCTATCTGCGACACAATCTGTCAGGTCGCGGCTGCCGGTCACTTATCGCTACATCGTAAATTAACTCAAATTATCTGACACCAGTCGCCGGGGCGCGATCAATCTACTAATCATTGCTCTAAGTGACCACAAAAAACGTAATTATATACGTCATATATAGCTAATATTTAGTTTTGGTTTGGAAATTCAAATGTGTTAAAATGCGATAGAACCATTGTTGTTTAATCTTTTGTTCCAGTATTCAAAGCACCCCTTCTTATATTTATTAAAACACAATGTGAATGCTGTCGTATATGTTTGCTCGGTAGGTGTTAAGTTAACAAAAGAGGTTTTATGCAGTCGCCACTTATAAAATAACTGACTACCCTCAGTTAAATGTGTCATGCATTTTTACACAGCTTGCAGTTGTAAATCAAAGGGAACAGTAGAAGCAAGTTGTCACGCGAGTCTCGCCTCGTATGTTCTATTATTTCACTTATGTTGACAACTTTTAAAAGTTATTTTCTGCTATTTCTACGTTTCCACTGCGAAAGAATGTTCATTTTCTCATATGTTTGCGTTTTATATACTCGTACGCTACTATTTGTTTTTATAGAAATTTCTAGAAGACATATTTATGTTGACAACATTTTGTTGAGAATGTTAGCTGTCTTATAATTGCACAATATATTTTGAAGTTCGAAGACAAGGCATTTAGTTTCAAAGTTGGAATTGTTTAAAAAAAAAAGAATTTTATACTTGGATTTTATTATGCTTCTATTTACAAAAGGACACGACCTTTCGTGTTATGACTTATGAATTAAGTGAATGTTCCTATGATAAATAACGTTGTTATCGCGACAGGTCACTTCATAAATCACCCCCCCCCTTTCTCCCCCTACTGCGAAACTAGAGTAATTTTAAGTCTTAAGACAAAGGCGAAAAGCTAATTTTTTTAGCGCGCGACAAAGTCATTTTTATTCGTTTGTTGGAATTTCATATTTTCAGCTTATTCCTTTGAACTTTTAAAGTGGAGTGGACTTTTCTCAGAAGTGGAATTTGTTACGTCCGTGTAATTGCAGTTGCTGTTTTTAACTCCATCCGTTTCATGCAAACAACTTTTTATGCTCATAGTTAATATTGTGATTTTATGAAAATAATAAATGCATAAATTTAGTGAAATTAGAGGAGATAGACAATATCTGTTTCTTAAATAAATTGAGAAGGCGACTAAAAATCACTTAAACCTTTACTTTTTACTTGCAATTTGTTGTGACTTTCCTTACTTCGTATTGCATAAACCAGTCCACTCTCAGCAAGCTTAGCACACTCGCGTTTAACGAGTGAGATGACACTACAGCGTTCTAAACAACTAAATATTTATTAGCGTTGATAAGCGGCTGGGAACTATCGCTCGAATGAACCGTGCATCGACCCCGAGGTGCAGGCGACCTGCATTCATCGGCGACTTATTAATTGGCTTGTTTGTATTATTGGACGGTAATTACAACGGAAGCAGTTCACCCACTCGCTTCCTGCCAACTAATGTTCGAGCATTCCTGCTGTTGCACTGTGAAGGTGTTATTCCGTAATCTAGTGGGTTCAGTGGGTGTGTTCCGCTAGTGAAGGTCGATTCATTGATGTTG